GGAAACACCTAAAAACAGTAAGTGCCTTAGAACAACAAATGAGGAGCTAAAACAGGAAATAAAAATATTATATGAAAAAGTTAATTCATACAGTCAGTTATTAATAGAAAAAGATAGATTGATTGAGCAACTTGTGAACGAGAACACTAGATTTCAAGATCAGCTGAATTTATTGTCGACAAATATCACTGAAAAAGAAACTATAGTTAACGCGCTCAAGAAACTGAATACTAGGATTGACATAATTGAAAAATCAAGTATCACAAGCACTACGTATTCGCAAATTGTAAAAAAGACCTATGCTACAAAAAGCAACGAAACCCATTGAAAAGCATAGTGATTATACCAAGCCAGCAACAAACAAGCCTCAAGACGCGTAAAGATCTAGACAAAAACTTAAGCTTGTCTAAACTTCAAATCAAAATTGACGACGTGAAGAATTTTAGAAACGGTGGTGTGGAAATTAAGGTCCACGAAAGTAACCATGCCCAGTTAAAGGAAGAAATTCAGAAAAAATTGTCAGCATCGTACCAGGTGTCTGAACCGAAAATGTTTAGACCTAAAATCAAAATCGTGGGCTACCATACAGATGAACGAATTACCGAAGAAGAGATAGTAGAAGACATCACAAGACAAAACCATTTCATAGAAAAAGAAGATATTAAGATAAATTTTATTAAGTATATTGCTCAAAAAAAAATTTATATTATTTACGCAGAGGTCACAGGTAATTTATTTAAACAGATTTTTGAAGATTATAATGGAAAAATTCTATTAGGATTTCAAAATGTATCTGTATACAAAAATAATGAAGTGTCTCAGTGCACAAATTGTTTCCGATTTACTCATTCTGGAAAAAAATGCCAAAATCCTAAAGTCTGTGCTCAGTGTGAAGAAAACCATGACACTTCCTTTTGTAAGCAGGCACATTCGAAATGTTGCAACTGTTTGTATTCAAATCACCAGTATAAAAAATCTTACAGTACCGATCATCTTCCGACAGACAAAAATTGCCCAGTGTATGAATTCTTTCAACAAGGACATCTCTCACGAATTTTATTTTGATCATTTTAGAATTATTTAGAATACTCAAAGTCTTTTATAAATTATGTACGATTCAAATACTCTTAATGGCTGGTAGTAAAATACTTATCGGACACTCGAATGTACGTTCCCTCATGTCTAGTTTTGATGCTATTGTAAATTTAATAGCATTAGAAAATTTTGATGTATTCGCTGTCACAGAGACGTGGCTAAATGAAAATATTACTGATGATGTGGTTAATATTAGCAACTATTGTTTCTTGCGTTGTGATAGAGAATCCCGTGGTGGTGGAGTTGGAATCTATGTTAAATCAAATTTACATGCTGAAAAGGTAGATATTCATACAAATTTTGGTGATTTTATCGAAAGCATTTGGGTTAAATTGGTTGCGGGTAAGTGTGAACTGTTAGTAGGTGTTTTGTACCGACCACCCTCTAAAAACATACAACAATGTGCAGATTTATTAAATGGTTTCCTACCCAGCCTCTCGTTATATCATCATAACATCGTGATATTGGGAGATCTGAATATGAATTTTTTTAATAAAAATATATTCTCACTGAGTTTTGAGCTGATGGGGTTCACACAAATCGTAACGGAAGCCACCCGTGGCACAGATAGTACTGCAACATTAATCGATCCAATATTTTTAAATAATCCTCAAATATGCAGCTATTCTTCCGTCATGGACACGAATGGTATTTCGGACCACAAACTCGTATTTTTTCATTTTGACATTCCATCTTATAAAAGAAAACAAAAATTTATCACAATCAGGGATTTTAAACATTTCAGTGAGGATGATTTTCTTATCGATCTTTCTACATCGGGCATAGATGAATTATTTACGAAATCTAATATTGATAAGAAGGTAATGCACATTACAAGCGTTATCGTGGAAACCTATAATAAACATGCACCTTTTAAAACTGTAAGAGTTAATAAGCCACCATCACCTTGGTTAACAAATGAACTACGCACTGTTCTGATGAAAAGAATACTGCACAAGCTTTATATAACACTAATAAGACCGTGGACGCCTATAATAACTTCAAATCGCTTAGAAACCGTGCTCTTAACATGATCAGGAGGGACAAAAAGACATATAACGAAAATTTGGCAAATGAAAATGATTCAAAAAAATTATGGAAGTCTCTCAAACAACTTGATTATTTTGTGTCTGTTTATGGCTATAAACCTGTTGATCCACTAGTTTGCGAAAACAGTTTCAAAAATAAATTGAGCTCTGAATATATTTTTTCATTGAATAAGATTAGTCCAAATGACGTATTACAGGCAATAGGGAGCCTAAAATCTGATGCCAAGGGAATTGATGGTATATCCCTGTCAGTGATCCAGCTTTGCCTGCCAGTTATTCTCCATCACATCGTCCACATCTTTAACGACTGTTTGGAAAAAGGCTACTTTCCAAACACATGGAAACAAGCTCTAATTATTCCAATTCCTAAAAGAATGAAACCCACTGAGTATAATGATCTCAGACCTATCAGTTTATTACCAATTTTATCCAAAATTTTAGAAAAAATTATAAAGTTCCAATTGACCGCTTACCTAGAAAAATTCTTTATACTTCCCGACACTCAATCCGGATTTAGAAAAACTTATAATACAACATCTGCCCTACTTTATCTGCCAGACAATATTTTAAGTGCCTTAGATAAGAAAATGGCACTAGCCTTAATTTCTATAGACTATTCGAAAGCCTTTGACAGCATCAATCATAAATTATTACTTGCTAAATTAAATTACATAGGTCTTGACAGTGTATCCCTTTCTTTTTTCGACAGTTACCTTCATCAAATAACTCAGTGTGTTTTTCTCAAGTGACAATAATTCCCTCAGGCGTACCTCAGGGCTCTGTATTGGGGCCGCTTCTGTTCCTCATATATACGTTCGACTTAAGCAAAAGTATTGATAATTCTCATGTCCAGTAATTTGCAGACGATATACAATTGCTTCATTATTTTAACCCAGATAATGTCAATAATACTACTCAAATTTTACAAAACGATGTTAATAAATTAATTAAATACTCTCTAGATCACAATCTACTTATTAATCCACAAAAATCTAAAATGTTATTATTTTGCGCACAAAGAAAAACATACAATGTAACACAGCTCTTGAACATTCAGATAAATAACCAAATCTTGCAATTTTCTGATTCTGCAAAAATTCTTGGTGTTGTTTTTGATACAAAATTAAGGTTTATTGAACATGTTAAAAGTCTATCTCAGAAAACCTACCTACGGCTGCGCACTCTTATAGCAAACAGGTATTTACTAAATTTTAAGATGCGTAAAAAACTATGTGAAGCATTGGTCACATCTATACTAAATTATTGTAATATCGTATACTATACTTATTTAGACAATTTCACTAAAAACGTTATTCAAGTTATTCAAAACAATTGTATACGATTCATTTTTGGCTTACGTAAATTTGATCATGTATCGGCGAAATATCCCGTTCTAAACTGGTTAAAAATTAATGACATGGTCAAGTATCGCTATTCAGTTTTTGTTCACAAATTGCTGCTCACGTCTAAACCTTATTACTTGAAGGAACAAATTTCATTTAATAATGATGTTCACTGTAGAACTCTCAGAGAAAATAATATTAGAATACCCCTGCATACGTCTACACTTTTTAAACGCAGTTTTTCTTACAATGTTGCTATTATTTATAATGACCTTCCTAAAGTATATAAAGAATTTTCATTACCTGTCTTTCGACAAAAAGTTAAAACATTATTACTCAACCCTCCAAACATATAATTTACGTAATCATTCATTTCTTTTTTATTCCATCTTTAATTCAGATTAATAATTTTTTGGTGCATTTGGGTTTGGAAAGTATGCCTTTTTCTCTTTTTTTTTAAAATTTTACTTCCGATGTAATGAACCAAATCTGTTTGTGGATAGTGTATTCTTTTGAACATCTGCTAGAGACTATATGGTTAAGTGTAAGAGTAGCAGCATGCTAAACTTCGCCATATAAGTCTGACATTTGGATATATACTACAATGTAATTGTGGATAAATAAAGACGTCTAATATTATTATTATTATTATTATTATGCTTCCACAACACAGTGTGTAAGTAGGTAAAGAAGGTTGACTTGCCACGCCAATTGCAAGAGCCCCTAATAAAAATATACATGCATGATAAGTACCTACAAGGTAATAGTAAAGACCTGCATCTATTTCTCACCTGGTACCCGACTTAGTACAGGATTTATGTCCGCATCCATAGCCTTTAACATAACTTTCTCCCAGGACAAAAGACGAATGGGCTTGTTCCCTGTGTTATTTTTGTCAGTTTTATTTTTCAGTCGCGTTTTCATATTGTTCACTTTTTTCATAAAAGCTTTAATATCCATCTCCTTGCCAAATAAAGTAACGTATTCCATAACGATATCAGTTAATGCAGCAGTTTTCTCCTTTTTCATCGCTGGAACTTGAGATTTCTCGAGAATCTACAGAAATGCTTGGACTTTTTCAGCGATAAACATCATCTCATTCCGGGCATCTTCGGTAACTTCATGTTCACTATCGGTGTCAGACATTTTAAATATTTTATTCACTTTAAAATAGCTGCACAAATAAGTTAAATGGATCTTCTTTACATCAATTGACGTGCGAACTGCTTTTAATTATGAGACAAATAAGATCAACCCCATCAGTTACAGACCACATACGCGTTGATTGCACGCTGCAAGTCATACCTTGTCGAAATCGCTAATCTCCATACCTTTTACTTTATTCTCCCGAAGCATTTGCTTGCAAGGGAGAGGTAGAGATTATGAATACGAATTAGAGCAAAACCTTTTACTTCTACCTTTTGCTTGTACCTTTTACTTCGAAGTAAATGCTTCATTTTTATAAATACGGGCTATTGAATACATATATTTTCATCCAAATTTTCTTCAACAGCTAATCTTCTTGGTGGTGTTGTCACTTTTTCACCTAACCTACAGTCAAGAAAGTGACGTGAATGATGTAGAACAAATCTCCACAGAAGAAGAAACACCAAAAAGGACCACTAAAAGAGGTATCTACGGAGGATACGGATATGGGTTTGGGTATCCATTCTATGGTGGATACTATGGAGGATATGGAGGATACGGAGGATACGGAGGATATGGAGGCTTTTACGGCTACCCCAGATACGGTTATGGAGGGTACTATCCGTACCACCTTGGATATGGATATGGAGGGTATGGAGGTTACGGATACTTCCGTTAGTAGAAGAATGATTCTTAGAATTAATATTGCTTGTGCAATAAGTTAAATATAAGTCAAAATTTGTGAGGAGTGAGGATCCTGTTGTAAGGTTTAACGAGGATGAAGTATAGGCACTTAAGAATGTAGCTCAAGGCTGAAATCAACCAATCTTCTGTAGCTCACTCATCTGTACTGTTTCTCATTGCAACCCTTAGGGTTTCCAATGACAAACACATAAAAACATGAGACCAAACTATGTTCAGGCTGAAGTATTCGAATGTATGGTGTATCTGAATGTACTTTATTCTTGAGTGATTATCGTTTTCATTACCCAGTTTAAACAAGAGAATATCGAGATGAATGCTCTATGTTCTACGGTAATTATGAATTTTTTATTAGACTCACCTACAAAGACGGATATTATACAACTGGTTGTACTTAAGGTTCTAAGCTCAGCGTTAAGTGTTAGTGTATTAAGCTCAATTACGTAATTTTACCAAAGATGACTCCAAAGATATATAATTAATCAAAATCAATGTAAAGTAAGTACTATAAGTCGGAAGACAGTTAAAAATAAACCGTTTTGTAATAACACATTCAAGCTTTTTTACTGTTATCCTTAATACAGTTGGTATACTTTTATAATATTTTTACTAATCTACCTAAACTGAGGAAGACTCTAAAATTTACGTATGAACCGATTTCTGATGTACTTAAACCAGTCACGATGGAGAACCCTTGGTGTCACTGGAAATTTGGATATTATCAAGAAATCCCAGCATATTTGAACTATCTGGGTTCTGATATTGATTAACGTATTCTCCCTGGAGAGCAAGCCATATATTATTTTCCGACGTCAAAGAAAGGATGCGAAAGACACTACTACTACAAATATTCAAGAGACAGTGGCAGAAAGCAAAAATAAATTTAGAGATTAATTTTGCAAAGACCTGTAGTATTTATCTTTGCTAATGACTCATACATGGTACTAGGAGCTTAAATCTTTTTGTCTCGACGGCGTCCAAAATCAAATTACTTCTAAATAGGCTAGGCGAAAATGCTATCTTTCTAATTTTTTGGACTACGATTAACAATTTTGAGAATGAAGTCTGAAATAATACACTAAAATACATATGTGCACTGAGTTTTTGAATTAACCAAGTTATGGCATCCTACTTTGAACATATTTAAAATTGGATAAATTGTAGAAAAAGCAGTTTTGCACTGGGCTTCCCTGTTAACAGAATATTATTTCCCTGAGAAAAAACGTCAACAATTGAAGAAATTCCAGTTTTTCCTATTTTCGCTATTTAAGAATGGTCAAAAATACATATGTGGGTTGAGTTTTTGATTTAGCCAACTTAGGATATCATACACTTGAAATGTCGAAATTTGAAAAAAATCAGTGAAAACGCAGCTTTTCCGGGTTTCAGTAATTTTCTGGGCAAACATTTTTGCTTTTGTTAGAGGATCTTGAAAAGAGGAAAAAAAGTACTCATATAAAAAAAATGTTTTCAAGCCCATAAGATTCACAACTATATAAGAAGTCACATTTATGTAGATAATTGTAGAATGTAACAGTGCAGCTTTGGTAATTTTTACACATTTTTTTGATCAAAATTGTGCCCGTAAAATGTATTTTCGAAAAAACACGTTAATTCTTATTCGGAGCACTATTCTCAATCGTTTTTGATTATTTCATGGTGTCTAAAAAACAATGATAGTAACCATTTAGTCGGAAAATGCATCTTTTGTGTATTTTATTGTGCATTATTCCTTCAATCGTAACTTGTTAACAAATATTAGTACAGCTCTGAAATTATATGTGTACTTTGATAGTGGAATTGAGTTTTCAAGAAAGTCAAACATTTTTTGGAGAAAGAAGGTTATAAGAAAAAATTAATTACCCGCTCAATCCTTCATTAAAAGTGGAGTATTTACATACAATTTTAGAGCTGCATTATCAGTTGTTAACAAGATACGATTGAAGAATAAATGCCTAAAAATGCACATAATATTGTTTTCCAGTCATCTCTATACATAACACAAAACAAACAGACAAAAAGTATCAAGAATACTCCTCTACACAGACTGAAAATACGGTAATCAAGAAATTTTGGAAACTACCTATGAACATTAAAAGTAGCGTCTGGACAGGGCATGTCAGCTAAGAACGGATATTGCAGCAGGGCTGGATGAAAGAGGGAGAGATTTACAGCTTGTCACAACTTCATACACCATCACCTTTTCTAGCTGGAGACTAGGCAGAGAGATATTTCTTGCAATGTAAGACTTGGTTCAACCTGATGTATTATTTTCAAGATTTAGTCCCTTTAACAATCTTAAGCGTACGAAGTCTCGGGTAGCAGCTTTTTATTTTTACGGTAGTTTTCTTCCACAAGCCAATCTTACAGTGGACTCAAGTGTGGCGAATTCATTCGAAATTGCCAACTTTCCACAATTATCCTCAGCTCAAAGTTTACCCATTCCTAGTTTAGCAACCAAAACTTCAGGTACCATACAGTTAAACAGAAAGTTCGCATCAGTTTATGGAATCGGAATCGAAAATTGAGAATTGCGTACGTGTTCCAAACTTTACAAACGTCGATACATAAACGTAAAATGGCGTCAAGTAGGTTGACTCTGCACATTATGCTTAACGCCATCATCAGTTCGGAAAGGATTATGTCCGACACAAGCTGGACCCTCTAAAAAAAAACTTAGCTTCTTACATGTATAACAGAAACATTAAGCAGATCAAGCTGGTCAAACAGGCTCACACAATTGAAATCTGCATGCACAATTTTGGAGTTCTTTAGGACTTGGATCCCTGAAAAAATATGCTATCCCTGAGAAAAATTCCTGGGAACGCATATGATTGAAAATGTGTACATCTGGCGTGGATGGGGATGTGGATCATTCATTTAGGCTGCAAGATCGCGAAGCATGTATATTTGATACGCGAGAGTCGGAAGTATTTCTCCATCATTCTGCGCAAGGATAAACGTACGACCTCCCACTTCCATATTTTTTATCCCTGAACATTTTTTCAAAAGCGATCGGGATCTCCTGGAAAGTCAAAAAATAAGTTCAATTTCTTCACTGTTTTTGCCCCCAACTACACCGCCAATAGATCGAGTTTCAAAGACTTTCTCGCACTGGGCATAGTATCAAACTTAAGTGAAAATGTCTTCAAAATAGGACGGGTACTTGCCAAGTTATAGCGGGGTCAAGACGTAACATGCAGACAGACAGACCGATGAAAATGACTGACGCCTATGTTAATCATATACAGGGTGCGTCATCTATTACTTTTTTTTATTTGAAAAACAAACACGCTATTTACGAGGTGAAATCGAATTTTTTTATTGATAAATGAAAGTTGGTTTATGCCATTTATGTATGAAAAATAACATCAGTCATGTGACCGCCGCGGATTCGTTTACAGGCCAACATCCGAACATCAAAATTTTCAATGTCTTTTCCCGGAATAATCGGGTCTATGGCCTCCATTTCAGTCCAAATATTCCGCTTTAGGTCTTGAATTGACTGGGGACCATTCGCATTTACTTTTTCTTTTAAAAATCCCCAAAGAAAATAGTCAAGAGGTGTTAAATCGCAACGATCTCGGGGGCCAACTGAGATCTGAATTTCGTGAAATTATGCGGTCTTGAAATTTCGTGTGCAATAAGGCGATTGTTTGGCGAGATGTGTGAGCCATTGCTCCGTTTTGATTAAACGAAAGATTGTTGGCACCAATGCGATCCAATTGTGGCCACAAAAAGTCTGTTAACATGCCGCGATAACGTTGCCCGCTGACGGTAATGGCCTCTTCTTCGGCGTCTTCAAAGAAGAATGGTCCAACGATGCCACCAGCCCATAATCCGCACCAAACGGCCACTTTTTCAGGATGGAGAGGTTGTTCATGATATTGGTGTGGATTTTCAACCCCCCAGAATCTGCAATTTTGCTGATTTACGTACCCATTGAGGTGAAAATAAGCCTCATCAGAAAAGAGCACTTTGGCCGAAAATCCGTCTTCTCTTTCCAGTATCCAATTAACAAAACACGCCGCTGTTGATGGTCTGCCGGCTTCAATTCTTGTGTTAGTTGGATTTTGTATGGATGGAGGTGTAAATCAATGTGTAAAATCCGGCGTGAAGCGGTCTCACTAATTCCCAATTTTTGTGAACGGTGCCTAGTCGAGTTAGTTTGGATCTTCTCGCACACTTTCGCTCACTGCGGCTATGTTTTCACGAGTACGAGCTGGACGAGCATGTTGGTATGGTCTACGACCTTCAGCTGAATCAGTTTCCTCAAACCGATTAACAATCCAACGAATTCCAGGCTCTGTAGGGCCTCCATGTCGGCCAAAGCTAGTGCGAAGTTTGCGAAAAGTGTCTTTTATATTTCGACCCTTTTCCTAATAAGTTTGGATCACCAAAATGCGTTGTTTTGTTGTAAAAGAATCCATGACTATAAATGGCATACCTTTGACAGTTCATTTACGCATACCACATGACTTTTGACTGACATGGTAACATATAAGCTTATAAGTAAAAAAAAAGTAATAGTTGGCGCACCCGTTACATGTCAAAAAACATGGTAGATCATTTTCAAAATTTGTCCCAATTACAATACTCCCTCTCCAGTGGCTTAGGAAGTAGAAAAGTATATCCTAATTCATCTTCTTATGCCATGATCTGGCATAAACATGATATGGTTCACCTAGAACTAATACGGGACTTTGAATGAATACAAAACATCATCCATATCCCTGAAGATTCTGAATCGCCTGAGCAACAGAAGATGGTACGACGGATTTTTTATGGTGTCATGGGAAATAAAGCTACGAGTTGTGGTGTCTTTTTGAGTTATTGGTATGCATACTGTCATTTCCTACTTCCTTATTGAAAATATTCCTTTTCCAAGAGTTATTTGTGTATTCACACAGTTTGAATTTCTTCTGCATCTGAAAATAGAAGCTTTATTCCGACGTGACATTATAGTGTAGGGTAAAGACACTTGTGAAAGGTGTTAGCTGGGAAGTCTTGGGTACAAATCTAGTGCAGAGGTCAAAATGGAAGGCTACTCTTCTGTATCAACACACGATCCGGGCAGGATTTTTCGATAACTGACACGCACGGCGTAATTTTTGGAGCTAGATACAGTTTTGTTATAACGAAAACTAGTAATTAAGCCTGGACGCTTTTCTAAGGTAAGTAGCTTGTGATGGTCGTATTTTTTTAAAAAAAGTCAAACATAGTGTTCACAATTATCAGGTTTCAATATTAAACAACTTATACAAACTATTGAAAGAAGGTATGAATCAGAGACTTTATAACTTTCTCGAAAAATCTAATATGCTGAGTACTGTCACCGTCTTCAAGAAGTGATCATGTGTGGGATATCATAGGGAGGAGACTATCCACTTTGCACCATCCGTCACAGGCTGCCACACATGAAGTTCGAGTAGCTTGAAATGAGGAGCTCAACCAGACATCGATCATATGATTTTGTCGATACCTAGACGTATACAGGAGTGTAATCAGCCCTTCTAATGTCACTGAGTATACTTTGTATTTGAGACATCTGTTTCTTG